CCCAGACCCCACCACCCCCTGCCCACTCCCACTGCCCAGGAGGATACGTGACGGCCATGCGGACACCGGAGAGCTCCTCCACCTGATACAGGACGTAGAGCAGCCCGAAGCCGAAGACGCCCATGATGTGCGTGGTGAGCGACAGCAGGAAGAGGAAGAAGTAGCGGTAGTTGCGCCGCCCGATGCAGTTGTTGACCCAGGGGCAGTGGTGGTCGAACTCCTGCCGGGGATGGGGCACGGTGAGGAGGTGCTTGCAGGGCTCCCTGCCCCAGGGGGGCTGGCAGAAGCCCTGGCAGCTCCTCACCTCCACGCAGTTGTCGCAGACGCTGCAGTGGGAGCAGCGCGGCGGGCGGTAGAAGCGGCAGGTCGCGCACCACTTCATGCGCACCTGGATGCCCTTGATCTCCACCGTCTTGTACAGCGGGGCCCGGAAATCGTCCTCCTTGTCCTCGTCCTCCTCAGCTGACAGGAACACCCCGGCATGGCGTCAAGGCCCAACCAGCCCCTGCCCGCCCCAGCTGAAGGCTCCCGGCATCACCTTCCTGTCACCTGGCACAGGGACAGCCAGGACCCCCAAACACAGGCTGGGGGGTGGTCTCCCAAGCCCTGCCCCAGAATCCTGACACTGCCTGAGCCCCAGGGACCCAACATGGGGTGCTGAACCCAGAGCTGCCATCCCTGTAGCACTTGTCACTGCCTGATCCCACTGGGCAGGGCGAGGAAGGCTCCTCACCATACTTTTGGAACTCAGAAATCCCCTTTACCTCCAAGGAAGGGTGCAAAGGGGCAGCTCTTCCCAGCCAGAGCCAGACTCACCTCGAGGGAATATGCCTGGGTCCATGAAGGTGGCCATGCTGAAGTTGGCCAGCACGAAGAGGAAGACGACGGCATTGTAGGCAGGGATGACTGGGGACACGTAAAGACTGAGCCCCGGGCACCTGCGGGCACAGCAGCCATGAGACCCTTGGAGCCCTCACTTGTGTCACTCCCACTGCCTCCCACTCTCCTGAGGCTCTCAGCAGTGCATCCCACACCCAAACTGGAGCCACTTCTACAGCACAGCCTGACCCTGGCCTGGGAAGCACGTGGGGCCACAGCAGAACGTGCTCCAGGCATCCATCAGGAAGCAAAATTCCCCTCTGGGAGGACCACAGTGGAGGGTCCCAGAGCAGTGGTGCTGGGAACAGGGAAAACCAGGCTGATGACATGGGGGGCACCCAGGGAACCCGCCAGAAAGCACCTGGACGTCATCCTCCCTGTGCCCCACAAGCTGCTTGGGGGCAGAGGGGACCCTGTGAGGGGACATGAAACCAGCACCAGCCCCGGTGCCTCCAGAGCCACCCATGTTCCTCACATCCCAGAGACAGCTCCAGCAGGACATGGGGACCCCAGCTAGCACCCAGCTCTTCCAAGAGGCCTGTGGGAGCGCAGTGAGGGAATCACCCTGCTCCCTCTTTCCCCAGCAGGCGGGCACGGGACATCGGGCTTCCCCCTTGCAGGCGCCAGTGTAATTCCCTAATCTGCTTTGCTGCTGGGATTTAATCCCACAGATCTAGGGCAGCATCTGTCCCTCTCTTCCCCCACCAGGCTAAGTGCCGATGGATTTAGGTGGCCGGAGCAGCGTGGGGCTGGGTGGGCAGGGCGACATATGGTGCCAGCGCCGTAATCCCGCACGGGTTGGGGTGAAGGGGCAGGCGCTGGCCCTGTACCCTCCTCCACCACCACCCACGGGGACGGGTCTGCTGCTGAGAGGCTGCCTCGGGAGCCGTGGCAAGGCTCCAGCTGGGAATGAGCCCTTGGTGCAGGGCTCTGTCCCAGTTCAGGGCCCTGAGGAGGGCAGGGGGACACCCCAAAGTGAGGAGCAGCAGCTGTGCCAGGGGGGACTGCCCCGGGCAGGGCAGGAGAAGTGGGCACACCCTTCTGGCACACACCTGGCAGCACAGAGGGTGAGGCAGGCAGGGCACTCCCAGCACCAAGCACCACTCCGTACCCCAGGGGGGCTGGGTACCTCATCAGTGGGACCTGCCCTCACAGGCCAAGGCTAAGGCTGTTCCCATCCAGGCACAGGGATGACAGCAGTCAGGCAGACTTTTGGCTGCAGGACATCCCTGGCAAGGAGCACAGCATGGCCAAGCCGCTCAGCATACTCCTTCCTCCTCCTCCTCCTCCTCCTCTCCTCTGACCCCTCCAGGCCCCACACACCACAGCAAGCTTCTCCTGCAAACCACCTTCCCCACGCCTCTTCCCCCTGGTTCCTGAGGAGCCGCCCTGCTGGGCACCCTGGGCGCTGCCTCCCTGTCCTGTATCAGGCTGGCATCTCCCAGGGTGGCATCTCCTGGCCCAGCCCCCCGAGCTCTGCCCCGGGCTGGGGAGCGGCTCCTCCAGCGGCACCGGCCATGCCGGCCCTGCCGCCTCCACTGGAAGCCAGCCAGGAGGATTCTCAGCAGCTATGACGGGCTGGAGAGGAGTTCTCCTCTCCAGTCTGTGCCCCAAAACCCTCGGAGAGCAGTGCTGGAGGCACAGGACCTGCGTGACAGTGCCTGGCCACAACCCAAGCAAGGGAAGAATCACAGAGTCATGGAATCACAGAACTCTTCAGATTGGAAAAGCCCTCCAAGATCAATGATTCCAAATGCTTCCCCGGGACTGTCAGGACCACCACTGAACCGTGTCCCCAAGTGCCACAGCCACATGTTTTTTGGTGACTTCATCACTGCCCTGGGCTGAACAACCCCTTCTATGAGGAAATTCTCCCAAACATCCAAACTAAACCTCTCCTGGTGCCACCTGAGGCCATTTCCTCTTGTCCCATCACTTGTTCCTTGGGAGAAGAGCCCAACCTCACCTGGCCACACCCTCCTGTCAGGGGTTGTAGAGAGTGAGGATACAGCAGAACCAAGGACCCCATTTTCCCGGACTGAACTCCTACTCCACTTGGGAAAAGCCTCCCTGGCTCTGCTCTCTGCTGGACACAGAGGGTCAGGGGGCTCATAGGAGCCCTAAAAGTAGGAAACGCCCTTCCAGAAACCCTGCGGAAGGAGCTCCTCTTTCCAGGAAGGGAAATCCCAGCCCAAACCTTTGCTTGAAAGAGATGGAGGGGAGCCAGGAAGACCTATGGTCGGGCAGTCATCCCACACAGGGAACAGCCAACAGCCGGGCTGAGCCAAGCACACGGCCTGGATCCTGAGACAGAGCCCAGGGAGAAAGGGAAGGATCCAGCTGCCTCAGAAAGCTCTGGGGCAGGCAGAGAGGGAAGGACCATGGGAAGGGAACACCTCTGTGCTGTCCTGGCAGCCAGCCCTTCCTGGAGTGACACAGAGCTCCAGGGGCAGGATAGTGCCCAGCAGGTTCCTGGGCTCAGACACACCAACAAGACCCCAGGGATGGGATTCATGGGCCAGGGCAAGCACAACACCCTCCCTAGGCAACACCAGCTGCCTTCCTGGCTCCCTCACACCCAGGGACCCCCGTGCTGTGGGAGGGAGGGAGGTGGGAATCCCCACAGGGCAAGACCACCCGGTGGCATCTGGCATGGTGCTGGTGACCCTGAAGTCAGGGAGTTACCTCTTGGGACCATCCCCAGCCATGGGAGGGATCAGGGTCCTCTGAAGAGAGCAAAGGTGCTGCCCATCCCTGAGGGAACTTCCTTATCAGGAGAGTGATGTGTTCCTGCCTTTTGCTCTCCTGAACGGAGAGTTTGGGGCTGTGGGCCCTGCCTCGACCCCGGGGCACACAGGGCAGGAGGAGCAGGAGCAGGAGGAAGGCTCCTCACCATCGCAGCCGGCCACGCAGGTCCCGCAGCACCCGTCGGGTCCCCCTCAGGATCGGGACGCAACACGCTCATGGCCAGAGGAGCTGTTGGGACATGTCCCTGGCAGCACATGAGAGGATGTGGGGAACCCCGGGCACCATGAGTCACAGCGGGATGCGAGACGGGCTTTTTGCTACCAGTCATGCCTGGAGAAGCCTGTCCCTCCCTGCTGGTATCCCCTCCCCAAGCCCTCACTCCCTGCACTCTCCCAGGCACAGCCTTCCCTCCCTGCCTGTTCTCCAGCTCTCCAATGGCCTTGGCACAAACACAATCCCTGCTTGCCATGACCCCCACACAAGCTTGGATCTGACTGGGAGCAGGCATGCCGCTGTGTCCCAGTGGCACTGCCAGCTCTGGGGAGGGGACAGGGAGCCTGAGAGCCAAGTGTACCAGCAGCTGGGACCAGCCAGTGGGGAGATGGAGGAATGGACAAATGGACCCCAAGGGGGAATTTCCATCCTAAATCAGCACCTGTCTGAAAGCCCAGCAAGCCTGGGACCCCCACTCATCCCAGGGGGAGGCAGGAACATTCACCCTCCCTCCAGTGCAACCGCCCTCATTTCCACGGCCATGTGCTCAGCAGCAGCTCCTAATTAAATTAATCAATTAAAGAGAGTTCTTGGCCCAGAGATACAAATCCTGGATAGACCAAAAAGTGTCCAGTGGATAGGCTGGAAGCAACACAACTGGAGCCTTAAGAGCCCTGCTGACCCCTGGCTGCTCCCTGCTTGGGGGAGGCCTCATAGAGCCAGCCCTCACAGCTTCCACTGCACTTCCCAAAGGATGAGCCTTAGGTTGGATGCTGACCAGGCGGGGAAGGGCTCACGCAGGAGGCAAACCTCGAGCCCCACGTCCCTGCCAACCTGCTCCAGCACCAGGCAGACGCTGTCCCAAGGAAACCATCCCACCGGGAGCCCCGTGTGAACGCTGTGCCGGGTTTAATGGGATGCTCTGAAGTAGGATAAACAACATCGCTGACCTGCAATTACAGCGACCTGCCCGGGTGTTCCTGCCCCGGCCAAACCTGCTCCACGGCGCCGGCTCTGGCGCTGCCTCTCACCGCCCGCTGATAAGCGGCTGCTCCCGGCACTGCTCGCACCCATCGTGGCATGGGCTTGGGGTCCAGCTGGCCGGCTGTGCCAAAACAGAGCCAGCCTGTCCCCTAAGGTCACACACGGGGTGGCACACACAGCTTGGAGGGCACCGCCTGTTCCCTCTGCTTCTCCTTCATCCCCCTGGCACAGGAGCAAGAGTCAGCGACTTCCACAGGCATCTGGCAGCCTGGAGCAGCCAAACCCCGAGCCTGGGAGCCTGGTGACCGCTCAGTGTCCCAGCAGGGGACAGCCACACGCTGCTGAGTGACACTGCCAGCTGCACCGGGCGCTGGACGGGGCGAACCAACCCCACTCCCCTCTTCGGTCGTCAAGTTCCCCTGTCCCTGCCCAGCGGCTGCCAAAGCCACGGTGACCTTCCCACCACCAATGGCTCCTTCCCAGGGAGTGGCAGCAGCCATGGCATCAGTCCCTTTGGCCTCCCACAGCTCCAGCTGATTCCTGTGACCCCAGTGAGTGGGAGAGGCTCTCCCTGAAGCAGAGGGTGCACGCTCTTCCTGCACCCTGCCGGGACCCCAAACACATCCCTGCTGAGACCCTGGGAATGCCCTGCAGTATTTGGTAGCCATTCCAGCTGCCGTGCTCCAGCTTTCCTGTCTGGCACACTGTGCCACTCTCTGCCAGGCTCCCTCAGCACCCCGAGGTTCTGCTCCCCTGCCTGTCACCCCCCTGGGCACGTCACTGAGGCACGTGTCTCCAGGCAGGGAAGAGCAGCAGCTCAGGGATGTCATCACGCCTCTCTAGCACCTGGCACCACCTCCCAGCCCGGTGGGACCCCAAGGCCCCTGTGACCTGCTGGCCATTTCCCTGGGGCCCCCTCCAGGGACATGGAACCCTCGTTGCCCCAGCGCAGGGGACAGAACACAGCGAGTCACACACACAGGGGTCAGAGTTCTCCTCCCTGAACTTTCCTTTGTGGCTCGCAATCGATTACGAAACTAAAAATAACACGTGTCCTGCCCCAGCCCACCAATCCACCTCGCCTGGCTCCAAAGGAGAAAGTGATCCATGCGCTTTCCACCCACAGGTCACAAACCAGTTCCCAACCCAGCTGACCTGGAGCTGAATGGTGCCTCACCAGGACAACCAGCACACAGCTTGCCCTGGGGAAACTCCTGGAGTGAAATGGCTCCTGCTGTGGCTGCAGCGCCCAGAGCCCAGTATCCCCCTTCCCTCTGGGAGGAAATCCCAGCTCCTCTCCCCCGTCCTCGCCAGCCCTCCCCATTCTGGCCGAGCAGCTGGGACTCACGTGAAGGCGAAGAAGAGGGTGGTGGCTCCCACTAGGAAGATGGCAGCAGCGGAGACCGGGACGTACTTGCTGGGTTTGAATCTCTTTCCAGAGGCTGCTGGCATGTTGGAGCTGTGGTGGGGGGTCCGCCCCGCAGCATAGCCCAGGCCCCAGGGGACTCAGAGCAGGATGAGAAGGGGAGGGGGACAGGGGCTGACCCCTACCCTGCCCCCACGCCTGCTCCTGGGGCGAGTTCCAACCGGGGTGGACAGTCCGGAGAAGGGTCTGGAGCAAGAGGCCCAGGAGAGGAGCCCACTCTAAGCTCTGCCCTGTGGGAGCTCACGGGTGCAGGGAAGGAAGGTTAAAAACATTAAAAATTCACAACAGAGAAGGGGATTTGGGTTTAGGACAACCTTTAGAGTGGGAATGCTGATGGCCCTTCTGAGCCTCAGTCCAGGCAGCAGCCCACAGGGAGCAGAACTCCAACAGGCAGGCTCTGAAGGGAGGGAATTCCCCAGGCTCAGGCAGGGCGCTCCCCACCCGGCCAGCCCCCTGAGAAGAGCACCGGATCAGCAAACTCCTTGCAAAAAAGCCACTCCAGGAGCCTCAGGGAAGCCACTGCTCCTTTTTAATCCGCCTCTGCTGTGCCACAGCCCCCGGTGCTGCACGGGAGGAGGGGGTGGTCTCCAAGCAATCCCAGCTTCCTCACGGAGCTGCCCTGCCTCCTCCTCCTCCTCTCGCTGGAGGGGTCACGGAAACACTCTCCCTGATTTCACCGGGATCTGGGGCTGGCTGGCGGTGGCCGTTTAATTTTATTTATTTCTCTCTTGTCTGTTAAAGCCGAGGAACAGCTGGTGCAAGGTTGAGCTGTAAATCCTTTCTTTCGAGGGGGGCGGAGGGGAAGGTCTGGCAGACTGTGGGTTTTCCTACTTGCTCCTTTCTCCTGACCCCCCAGGCCCTTCCATGGGCTCAGTATCCATTTGGCGGTTGGGGAGCGACAGGAATTTCATTAAATCTTCTCTGCAGCAACCACTTCCCAGCAGGTGAATGGGAAGGGGGTGTTCAGGGAGCACCTTTACAACCCCAGCAGACATCAAAGGGTGGAAGTGGTGCTGAGCAGCTCTGTCTCACCCATGGCCCAGGCGGTGCGGCGGGAAAATCTCAGTTTGTTCCAAACAGCTCCATTTTCCCCTCCCCCTTCTTTCGTCATTCATCCATCCATCCGTCTTTTAAAAAAAACTACATAAAACCATTAAAACTCGAGGTCTGGTGCGCCACAGCTCACCTGGAAAAAACAACAACAGAAATTAGCATGGCATGAGAAGGGATGGAGCCGGCTCACATTAGCCACAGCAGCCTGGCCACGGCGTCTCCTGTCCCAGCCCAGGGGCACTGGCTGCTGCAGGAACTCCAAGCCACCCCCTCTACCACCAAGAAACCCACCCCAAGCCCTGGAAGGACACCATGAACTCCCTCCTGCAGCTCCAGCTCAAATCCCAGCACCAGTGAGTGCTGGCTTCCTGAGGCGCAGGGGATGAGCAGAGGCTCCAGAACTCAACATAAGGGTGGAGACCATAGGAGGAAAAAACATCCAGGAATCTCACCCCCTTCCCTGGAGGGTAGGAGACAGGAGAGGCCCATGGAAAACACCAATCCCGTGATCGGAGGTGGCCTTTGCAACTCTGGATTCATTAGGAACTGCAGTGCCAGGAAAAGGAGGAGTGAATTTGAAATGACAGAGCTCAGGGTTAGATGGGATATTGGGAAGAAATTCTTCCCTGTGAGGGTGGTGAGGCCCTGGTACAGAGTGCCCAGAGGAGCTGTGGATGCCACTTTCCAGGAAGTGTCCAATGCTAGGCTGGATGGGGCCTGAAGCAACCTGGGAGAGTGGAAGGTGTCTCTGCCCATGGCCTGACGTCCCCCAAGCAGCCACAAGCCCATCATCCATCATATCCCACCAGTTCCTGCTGCTACAGCCAGCACTCCTCACCTTGTCATCGTCTGTCACCCACCCTCCCCTTGCTGCCTCCACGGCGCTCCTCCAGGGCCAAGCGGAGCCTACAGCTCACTCCTTTCTCCCTTCCAGCTTTCTCTGCTTCCCCAGTTTCTCCTTCGGGGTGGGCAGGGAGCTCTCTAGCGCTGACTAAATGCGGGTGAAGGTTGGGAGAGCTGCGGCACCCAATTAAAGGCAGGTTTAATGACAAGGATGTGTTACCACCAAGTGGGTTCAGCCCCAGCTCACAGAGTCAGCCACCTCGGCTGACTCACCCAGGAACGGCTCCCACCACTCGGCCTCTGCAGGACAAAGCTCAACTTCCCACCCCAAGGCTTCCCTGCTCTTGGGAGTGAGAGGAAACCTGGGGCCAATGCTCTGCCCAGCCAGGAACGTGCAGGTTTCACCTGGCAGCAGCTCCTGAGTGGAGCAGATTGAACAGTGACACCAGGGAAAGCTGTTTTCCGTGGCAGGGACAGAGTTCCCTGGAGAGCAGCAGTTTCCCAGCCCCGCTCTGCCTATTCGGGGAAGAGCCCAACACCCCACAGAGCCGAGCCCAACAGCAATTCCAGGGATGGGCTATCGGAAGTCCAGGCCTGACATCACGGCTGATTGCTTTAGCAGGAGCAATCTGCTCCCAGAGCACCCGGCCCTTTGAACGCTCCGCCATGGAGGCACGGCCACACCTCGGGTTCAAACAGACGCTGCCAGGCAGAAGGAGCTGTTCCCTGATAATTCCTCCTCCGGAGATCCCCACCCTGCCCTCGCAGGGAGCCATGGGCATGCGTCTTGTGGCCTTGCTCTGCCCCAGCCCTTCCAGCCAGAGATCCAGGCGTTCCAGACCTTCCAAAGGTAATCCCTGTGGAGCTGTGCGTGCCAGAGTCAGCTCCCCATGGAATCAGGCACCCATGGGACAGGCCCACGAGCAGGGGAGAGCCCCAGTGCTGTCATTAGTGACATCCCAGCGAGAAGCAATGCAAATGCATCCCTGCTCCAGCCACCTGTGCCCGGGATAACTCCACAACTCATACAACAGGAGGCTGCTGAGCCCATCCCGGCTCCCAGAGCCACCACACTGCTCCCAGGAATGCCTCCCCGATCCCCCTGACATGCTGAGACCCTGCAGGACTCCCCAGCCCCAGCCCTGCTGCAGAAGCCCGGGCAGAAGCTGTCGAAGTGCAGCACAGTGTGACAGTATCTCTGCTCTGCAATCCTTAAGGGGTCCAGGAGAAACACAAAGAAAATCCACCCCAAATTCCCACAGACTGCACTAATTCAGGTCCAAATTCTCCCAAACACACATATTCTTTCCAAGCTATGCCCTTTCCCAGCCCTACAACCTCCCTACCTCTGGTCAACCAACCCTTTCCCTTCACTTTTGCCCCAAGTCCTTGGTCTCTCTGGCCACTTTGTCCCCATCCAGAAAAGCCACTCAGACTTCCCTGCTCCAAAGAGTCCCCAACTCATCTTGCTTACCTGTGGCCTACACGGGCTCTGCTCTTGCCTCCCATTCCTTTCCCTCTGCCAATTCCAGCCCAGCAACTCCTCCTCTCCTGCTGCTCCTCCAGACTTGCCCTGCTCCTTCCTCCCCCAGCGCCTGTGTCACTGCTCACTCCCCCTTCCCTCTCCCTCAGAAATTCCACCTGCTTTTTCCATCCCAGCACCTCCTTTTCGGAGCACTTTGCCAGTTCCACTCTGCTCAGCCACCTCCGGAGCAGTCATCTCCACTCTCCAGGGCTTCCCCTCCACTCATACAGGGGAGCTGCTCCTGTTTCCTTCATCTCCATTTCTGGGCATTTCTTTTAATTCCAAATTCCCTCCCTTGGGATATCTGCAAGCACGACTGCTGCCACCTTCCATTTCTTTGAGCCTCCGTCTTCTTTTCTTGGGTCAAGGCCCCGTAAAGCCTCACTGATTTCCTCCTTTTACTCCCCTCCCAGCCCCGTGCTCCTCCTTCCCACCCCACTCTGCTCCAGCCCCTCTCCAGGCCTTTCCACACGTGGCAGGGCGCTCCATGGCTTGTCCCTTCTGGAGCATGAGGCCCACCCCTCGTCCACTGGGATGGGGACACATGTGTCTCCAGCTCCCAACACTCCCTCCTCCCTCTCTTCAGCTCCTCACTCTGCTCCTGCCCAGGAAGGAGGAAATGCACCTCAGCATCAACCACACGGCTCCTGCCACTCCTGGGATCCACGGCACAGGCAGGACAGAGCTCCCTCCCTGTTACCGGCTCCCAAACCTGCGTCACTCGCCGGGATCCGCAGCTCCCGACCTGCCCCAATCCAGCCGAGTTCCCATGGCGCAGGGCAAACACACAAACAATTCCTTCCACGTGAGGCAACTCCCAGAGAGGGCAGATCCCGGGCTGCACGATGTGCTCTACCTGTTCCCACTTTGTTTTGATCAGCTGCACCCCAGAGCTCCATAAAGCCATTCCAGAGCTCGCTGCCTGGCACTGTGAGTGAGGGGCATCCACGGAACGAGGAACTTCCTCCTTCCTCTGCAGCTCCCTCTTCTCACCCTGTCCTTGCACAACCAGCTAACACTTCACACTCCAAAATCCATCAGACAAAGTGCAAACTTTCCCAAACCTGGCACTGTGGCCAGAGCAATGCCAGCGTGAGATCCCCACCGGTCACTGCTCTCTCAGGAGCACCTGCCCAAACAGGGCAGTCTGGGGACACTTCCCTGCTCTTAATTCCAAAAGAGGATGCACAGCAATGTATGTTTGGCCGCCCCTTGGTTCCAGGTGCATCCTGCACACCTGCCCTTCTCCCAGGTGGATGTACAGAAGGATCAACACAGAACATGAAGAAATATTCCACTGAAGACAGCCAGAAGGCTGCAATCACTCCGTGCTTATCTCCTGCCTGGGGCTTACACCGCTCCCATCCTCCTTCCCCAGCCCATCCCACTGGTTTACACGGGATTAGCCCCATTTTATGGGCAAAGCAGGAGGAACAATGCCTCATCCATTGAGGCCGCGTCCCAACGGGCCCTACAGTGAGCAAGCACAGCACCAAGCCTCTTGTCACTGTTAGGAGACACCGGGCACAGCGACAGGTGGGAATGTCCCCAGACAGGCCCCTGACAGGGGAGTTCAAGGTCTCCCCTCGGACCCACCCAATCACCACCCTCTCCATTCCCAGATGGGGCTCCTGGCCTCGGGAACCAACAGGAATAAACGCCTGCTAAAGCAGCAACTGGGCCCGGCAGAGGGATGGTGGTAACTGGATTAAGCTCAGAAAGAGGCTCCAAGATAACTCTGGCTTTGATCGAGACAAGGCCCTGGTTGTACTTTAAATGTCCCAAAAACCCGAGCAGCCCCTACCACAGAGAACCCCGCTTCCCTAATGCCCAAATCCAGCTCTGTGCCGGGGCGGCAGCCGGCCGATGCGGGGGAACCACTTCCCGGAGCCAAGGGAGCACAAGGACAGCCGATCCCCTCCCGAATCGGCGCGGTCAGGGGGGTGGAAGCCCGGGGCTGGGGACCTGCACAGCTCAGGTGTTTGGGAATCTGGGAATTCTGAGGAGAGGCCAGGCTGGACCCCTGCCAGTGCCCCCCAAAGCCGGGAGCAGGGGCCGTGCCGTGAGGGAGAGGCCGCGTTGTAAGCAGGGGTCCTCCTTCGGCCGCGGCACAGAGGCCGAGCTCCGGTGCCCAGAACGGCGCGGTGACGGCGTTCCCGGGAGCACCGGGGACAGGCCGGGTGCGGG